TAAGATAATGCTGTCTTGGTGATGCAGGGAAAACCCTTGGTTGAGAATGGTTGTGACTTTGAGTGTGTAGGTATGACTATTCTGTTTTCTTTTTCTTTTTTCTTTTTTTTTATGTATTCTGTTTTCTTTTTTAAAAAACTTTTTTTGTGTTTTAAGCTGCTCTAATTCGAGAGAAGTTGTGTTGCCTGGCATAGGTGTTAGTAAGTAAATACGGAAGTGCTGTCAATTGTTAATATTTCTTTGCCGTGAGTATCCAGGCCTATCCTGGAGAGTCTTCTTCTTCCTTTTTCTAGCATCATCATTGAAAAGATCCAAAATATTATACTTTATGAACAAGCAGAAAGAGAAATCAGGAAAACACTTCCATTCACAATTTCATCGAAAGGAATAAAATACCTAGGAATAAACTTAACCAAGGAAGTGAAAGACCTATACCCTGAAAACTGCAAGATACTCTGAAGAGAAATTAAAGAGGACACTAACAAATGGAAATTCATCCCATGCTCTTTGGTAGGAAGAATTAATATTGTCAAAATGGCCATCCTGCCTAAAGCAATCTACATATTCAATGCAATCCCTATCAAAATACCAACAGCATTCTTCAATGAACTGGAACAAATATGTCTAAAATTCATATGGAACCACAAGAGACCCTGAATAGCCAAAGCAATCCTGAGAAGGAAGAATAAAGCAGGGGGATCTCACTTTCCAACTTTAAGCTCTCCTACAAAGCCACAGTAAGACAGTTTGGTACTGGCACAAGAACAGACCCATAGACCAGTGGAGCAGAATAGAGAGTCCAGATATTAACCCAAACATATATGGTCAGTTAATATACAATAAAGGAACCATGGATATACAATGGGGAAATGACAGCTTCTTCAACAGGTGGTGTTGGCAAAACTGGACAGCTACATGTAAGAGAATGAAACTGGATTATTGTCTAACCCCATATACAAAAGTAAACTCAAAATGAATCAAAGACCTGAATATAATTCGTGAAACCATAAAACTCTTAGAAGAAAACATAGGGAAACCTCTCTTGGACATAAACATGAGCAACTTTTTCATGAACATATCTCCTTGAGCAAAGGAAACAAAAGTAAAAATGAGTAAGTGGGACTATATCAAGCTGAAAAGCTTCTGTACAGCAAAGGATACCATCAGTAAAACAAAAAGGCATCCTACAGTATGGGAGAATATATTCATAAATGACATATATGGTAGGGGATTAACATCCAAAATATATAAAGAGCTCACATGCCTCAACAAACAAAAAGCAAATAATCCAATTAAAAAATGGGCAGAGGATCTGAACAGACACTTCTCCAAAGAAGACATTCAGATGGCCAACAAGCACATGAAAAGATGCTCCACATCCCTAATCATCAGAAAAATGCAAATTAAAACCACAGTGAGATACCACCTCACAGCAGTAAGGATGGCCACCATCAAAAAGACAAACAACAAGAAATGTTGCTGAGGATGTGGAGAAAGGGGAACCCTCCTATACTGCTGATAGGAATGTAAATTAGTTCAACCATGTGGAAAGCAGTATGGAGGTTTTTCAAAAACCTAATAGAAGAAATACCATTTGACCCAGCAATTCTACTCCTAGAAACTTACCCTAAGAATGTAGGAGCCCAGTTTGAAAAAGACATATGCACCCCTATGTTTATCACAGCATTATTTACAATAGCCAAGAAATGCAAACAACCTAAGTGTCCATCAGTAGATGAATGGATAAAGAAGATGTGGTGCATATACACAATGGAATATTATTCAGCCATAAGAAGAAAACAAATCCTACCATTTGCAACAACATGGATGGAGCTAGAGGGTATTATGCTCAGTAAAATAAGCCAGGCGGAGAAAGACAAGTATGAAATAATTTCATTCATCTGTGGAATATAAGAACAAAGAAAAAATTGAAGGAACAAAACAGCAGCAGAATCACAGAACCCAAGAATGGACCAACAGTTACCAAAGGGAAAGAGACTGGGGAGGATGGGTGGGAAGGAAGGGATAAAGGGGAAAAAGGATCATTACGATTAGCATGTATAATTTAGTGGGGGGACACGGGGAAGGCAGTATAACACAGGGAAGACAAGTAGTGATTCTATAGCATCTTACTACGCTGATGGACAGTGACTGTAAAGGGGTATGTGGTGGGGAATTGACAATAGGGGGAGTCTAGTAACCATAATGTTGTTCATGTAATTGTACATTAATGATAGCAAAATCAAAAAAAGTTTTTTTCAAAAAAAAACTCCAAAACAAAACAAAAAAAACAAAGCAAAACAGAAATAACAAAACAGCAGTAAACTCATAGACACCGAGAAGGGACTAGTGGTTACCAAGGAGGAGAAGTTGGGGAGAGTGGGGCAGGTGAGGGAGAGTGAAGAGGATTGTGGGACACAATAATTCACAGTCACAATATAGGTTGGTCACAGGGACTGTAGTATAGTATGGAGAATACAGTTAATGATTTTGTAACATCTTACTATGTTGATACCTAGTGACTGCACTAGAGGGTTGAGAATTTAATAATATGGGTGATAGTTGGACCACTGTGTTGTATATTTGAAACCAGCATAAGATTATATATCAATGATGTATTAATAAAATTAAAAAATTTTAAAAAGAAAAAAAGATATACAGTAGCAAAAGCAGTGATAGCTCCCTGACCTGTGGTCTCAGTGTAGGGGAAAAACAATAAGAATAGAGACTGTGGACAACTAAAGTGCCTATGGCCTGTCTTCATCTGTTAATAGGGTGAAAAACTCCTTTTTGTCAGTTTTCATTAAAGTAAAAACCCCAAACCTTCATGACCTTAATTTGTAAAAGGTACAGAATTTAAATAACAGTCACAGACCAGAAAGCTCATAGCTGAAATAGGGAAATCGTAAACACAGAACTCCATGGGCCACACTTAAGGGGTCATCTGGTAGACAATGAAATGACTGGAGGAGGACATAGAACTTGATTTTGACCAACAATTGAAGGAAGAAGGAACTCAAGGAGCAAAGACAACTTCTGACTAGGCAAAGGGAAATAAGTATGATTTGCCTACTATATCTTCTATTGATTTTTTTAGGAAGTATGTTTATGGCAAAAAGTCAAAGTAGTACAGGAAGGTATAAAGCAAAATTAAAAACATAAAATTTTCCCAAGTGTGTATGTTCAAAATAGTTGAAAGCAGGGACTCAGACATATTTGTACACTCATGTTCTTAGCAACATTTATTCACAATAGCCAAAAAGTGAAAACAACCCAAATGTCCATTGAATGAATGAATAAGCAAAATATGGTGTGAGTGTGTATATTTGTATTTATATAAATATATAAAAATGAAATATTATTCAGCCTTTAAAAAAGAATGAAGTTCTGATACATGCTTCAGTATGGATGTACTTTAAAGACATTATCCTGAGTGAATAAGCCAGACACAAAAGGGTGAATATGTGACTCCATTTATATGAGGTACTTAGAGTAGTCAAATTCATAGACGCAGAAAGTAATATGGTGGTTCCTGGAGGCCGAGGGAAGTTAGTGTTTATTTGGTAGTTTGTTTGGGCTGATGTAAAACTTCTGGGAATGGATAGTGGCAATGGGTGCACAACAGTGCTAGTATACTTAATGCCACTAAATTATACACTTAAAAGTGGTTAGAATGCTAAATTTCATGTTATATATTTTTACCACAATGAAAAAAGGCCCCTAACAACCCTAGCCTAGAGGTGGTGTCCACCATAAACAACTTCTTTTATATCCATCTAGATATGCAAATCCAAGCGTAGATATGCAGGTGTAAGCACATTCATTCAATGTCTACTTCTGGGGGCACTCACTTAGGTGCTGGGTTCTCTGTAGTAAACAAAACTGACAAGGTCCCTGCTGTCAATGGAGCTTTTAAAAATTTTGTTTTACACAAATGGATGTTGGCACACATACTGTTTTATGCCTCATCTGTCCCCTTAACAAATACCTTTGGACATCTTTCCAAGTTATTTCTATAGATCTACTGATTTAATGGCTGCATGATATGCCCTTGTATGGATGTGGTATAATTTGTGGCTGTTATATTGAATGGAGGAGGGAAGGGAGAGGTGTAGAGCTTGCCATAGTTTGCTGCCTATGTTTGCTTCTGTTGTAACTTAAATTTTTATTGGGAATATAATACAGGCCTGTTATAAAAAGTCAAGCAGTGCCAAATATATAAAGTAAAAGTAAAAACTCCCCAATCTGCTCTCTACCTCTCTTTTAACCCTAGTCTCTGGAAATAGTAACCACTGTTAATAGTCTTGTTATTCATCCTTCCGTATGTATTTAATGTATCAGCAAATATAAAGAATATGCAGAACCTATGTATTCTCATTCTCTAGGAGCTGGCTCATGTGATATTATATTGCTCATTTAATTCAGGCTGCTGGGAGTTATACAGAGGAAAGAGCTGGACTGAGCTTCATGAGACCTGAATTCTGTCTAGATAGTGCTACTGTGAAGGCAATTTCTTATGTTGTCATTGGTACAGTGTCCCATAGTCAGTGAGAGCACATCAAGGAGAATACTTTGAAAACTGGTATGCTAGAAATACTACTTTAGAGTTCTTCGGTTGCAAGCTCTAGAAACCAACTAAGGTTTTGTTAGACAAGAACATGGGATGTTAGTAGAAGGACTTCAGTTAGCAAATGAAAATGTACTTCAACACCTGGGTCTCTAGAAAGTCAGCAGCTGGGTGCTTTGAGGTTTTCAGTATTAGCATTTATATCTTTCCATTGTTGTGTGTCTGTTCAAGATTTAACTCCTGGGGAAAAGGGAGTGACGGGCTATGTGTCTACTGGTGGGTTAACAATAGAGTCCTGGGTTTATGTGCCCCATCAGAATCTCTCTGAGTTTGGAGAGATGCAGTTTTGGAAGGGGTGGGCTTCAAGGCTGGCAAGACCAAGTGTCAGCCTTGAAATGTCAGCTATTTTAACTAGATTCTTACCCCTGTCAAGGAGGAGATGATCGCCGGGTTCTGCTATGGCACATGGAACAAGCTATCCACTCTAGAGTCAAGCCCATACAGCTCAAAGGAGAGCATCATTCCAACATTTTTTGCCTGGCCTTCAACAGTGGGAACACAAAAGTATTCTCTGGAGGTGAGAATAAGAGATATTTCCACCTTGGCAAATTCACTCACTGGGATTTTTAGATACAGGACTGCTAAAATAACTCCTAATTTTCCTTCCTTAATTTAATTGAGTTGTAGCATTACTGGTTTCCCATAGCTTGTCTTCTGTGTATTACAGCAAATGTATCTTTTCTTCCTTCTTTTACCTTCCTCCCTTCTTCCCTCCCTCCTTTTGCTCCTTTACTCTCACTCTTTCACTCTTTTTTGGTAAAAAACTTTTTACATGGCAAACTGGTACACAGAAACATGTTTGAAACAGTACTCAACCTTAGTATGTGTGATGTTTAAAGTTACTCTGTTTCATTTTTAAAGATTGTAAAGGTGGTGACTCAAATTGGTATCAGTCACATTGGTAGCTCCTTTTTGGAAGCATTGTGTTAGGCTCCAACTGGAATGGCTTGTGCTCAAGCCAGCCTCTTGGTGGTAGATTCCATCAACCATGCTATTCTGGCCACCATCTTTCTATCTCTGAGCTCTCTTCTGTGCTATAGATTTCCCCACTGAATATCTTTCTGTATATTCCAAAAGCAATTTACATGCTACAGATCCAAAATCAAGATTATTAGTCCTCCTGCCCTGCACAAATATTTCCTTTTTTTCCCTGGATTCTCTTTCTCAGTTACTATCACCATTCATCCTATTATATAACCTATTAGGCTTAACTTTAAGAAACTGCTGATACTGAGCATTTTCAACTTATCTAAGTGACACTTTCACATGGTTCAGCCTAATAGACATCTTGGAGTCATCCTCAAACCTTTCTTTTTCCATTACCAGATTTAGTCACCAACTAGACTTGAAAACCTCTCATAGCCATCCTTTAGTTTCTGTTTTCTTTCTATACCCACTACCCTGATTCAGGTCCTCAGCTTTGGCCTGGATATTACAGTGACCTCCTGTGGTTTCTGCTGCCAGTATCTAGCCCTCCTTCCCATTTCATCGCTTATTCAAGTTTCCTTTTAAAGATAAAAGTTTAGCCATGTGAACCTTTGACCCTACAATGCACACATGATAAAGTCTAAACCCCAGTCTGCCTCTCTGGCCTCACCTATCTCTCTGGTCTCAGCCCCCTTCCCCTGTCCACTATACCACTTGCCATCGTAGGTGCCCTTGTACCTTTTGCTCGTGCTGTTCTCCATTGTTCATGATTAATTGTCCAGTTGCCCCCAGTTCCCCTAAGGCTTCCTTGGAAAGATTTTTAAGTTATTTAAGTTTCTGTTCAAATGTCTCCTTCCTTCTCCATGAAAACATTCTCCCCCTCTGCCATGTACTTTTACCCTCCTCATCGAGGAAATAGTTGCGCCTTTATCTGTGTTCCCATTGTAGAACATATCACTGCAACAAGACAACCTGTCTTGTAGCTCTCTGTTAATTGTGTTGTTGGACTGTGTGTTCCTCAAGGGTTGGGCAGAACCCTTCTTTTCTCATATCTCCAGCACCTCAGCAGTGCCTGTTGCCTAGAAGGCATTAGAATGGGCTTGATTTACTTAGTGTGTACCCATGATAGAGTTTGCAGCCAGGGATTTAAGGTGATATGGGATACATTTCTACTGCTACTTTTGCTTGCTATCTTTTCATTTTCAGCATTTTGTTTCTTGTCTATAAAAACCATTTGAAGGCAGGATTAGGTGTATCATGAATGAGTATTTTTAGATTCCTTGATGGAATAAAAAAAAGTGTAAGAGAAAAAAGTTGTGAATAAATTTTTTCCCATCATTAATATCACAAAATCATCAAATGTTAATGCTGTAAGAGATGATGAGGATGTGAATAGTAGCAAATATTTATTGGGTCTTAATTCTCAGCCCTATTCTGAATGCTTTTACAAGTAGATTCTTACCCTCACAATAATCCTGTGAAGTAGGTACAATTTTGCCCCTATTTTACAGATAAAACTGAGGCAGAGAAAAGTTTCATATGTTTTTCCAGGTCTCACAATTAATAAGTGTTTTGCTTTAAAAAAAAAAAGCTAGCTTGGGTAAAAGAATTGTTTTGTCCATGATCAATTACTCTTTTCCTTGATTGCCAGTTTTTTATTTTTTACACCATCCACTGGGTACCTTTGGAAACTGTTACTATGTTATATATCTAGTTGGTGTTCTACCTTTAAAAAATTCTCTATAGGAATGTCCTATCCTTCTTAAAGTATTTTTATAGACTTTTTTTTTGTAATTAACACTCCTAATTTGATTAACATTGATCTTGTTCATATGTTTTCCCTGAAAACTTTAAAATACTAAATTGTAATACAGACTGCTTTGCAGAAATTAATCAAATATCTGCTTTTTCTCCCTTATAGGCAATGATGAGCAAGTTATCCTCCATGATGTTGAAAGGTAATGAAATTGTTGGTATTATAAAGATGATTGACTTTATGAAGTCAGTTTCATATGAAGGGAGGCAAATATCTTTTTAGAACAAAATAGGTTTTGTTTTTTGAAGAAAATGTAAAATTAGCTGTCCTTTTCTGAAAGATTCCTGTAATAGTTTTAAAATAAATTTTTGATTAAGAAAAAGAAAAAACATCTGTAAAGTTGGTGTGAAATTATAATTTTCAGGTGAAAATTTAAAAGGAGAGGTTGGAAAAGAAGGGAGCATAATAATGATAACAATAATAACTAATATTTACAAGCCAGGCATCTAGTAGTGCTTTGTATGTGTTATTCAATTTAACCCTCTCAGTAATTTTATGAGACAATACCATTATAATTACAAATGAGGAAATGGATGTAGAGATGCTAGGTAACTTAAGATCATGTAGTGCTAGGATCTGAACTTAGGCAGCCTGGCCTCAGAACCATGCTCTTACTGACCATGCCAGACTGCCAGAAGATCCCTTTCCTACTCCTGCTGGCATCAAACCTGGCTGCTTTAAAGCTTTCTCTTGCTTTTTGGAAATCAAGCAACATCTCCAAATCTGCGCACAAGCAGATGCATTCTGTGGTAAGTGAAACCACAAAACTCATCTATTGAGTAACTTTTAAATAGGCTCATTTAGTGCAAAAAGCAAACTTACCATGAAACCTATAACAAGTCTCTTTAATAGTGCTTTTTATTTCTTTATCTGAAAGTTGAATACCTACTTTTTTTAAGGAGATAAAATATCCTTTGGGATAACATATTCTATGTTATATATCTAGTTGGTGTTATACCTTTAAAAAATTCTCTTTTTTTAAAGCTTAGTTTAGCTAGGTTGACGTTCTGGAAATGAAAGAGAATCCTACCCTAGGAGCTAGAGAGCTGGGACTCTGTGCTGTGTATGTATGTGTGTGCCTGTGTGCCTTTTCCTGCTCTCTGTCTCTTAGCAGCGAGACCTTGGATGTGTTTGCTCATGAAGACGCGGTATATGGCTTGTCAGTGAGCCCAGTGAATGACAACATTTTTGCGAGCTCCTCGGACGATGGCCGGGTTCTAATCTGGGACATCCGGGAGTCCCCCCATGGAGGTAGGGTCACTGTGGAAGAGGCTGATGGATTGTGAAGAATTTGATGTTGAGTTCATTGCAGATCCAAAATGACCTGAGTAACCTGGGTGGAAGTTATGTAAAGGGAGAGGAGACACTCATATGGAGGTATAGATGTGTCTCTGAAGGTCCCATCTACCTGTAAGGATTCAAAGTAAGGTACCCTAGCCAATTTTCTAGCCACCTGTGAATCTCCAACAACCCCTATACCTGTAGCAAACAACATAGTATCTTGGTCTTTGGTAGCCTTGAGGAATAGAAGATGGGGTAGCTACCAAGGGCCAGCTCTGCATATGGTGCTGACATATATACATATTCTTGGTTAGTTACAGAGAATGGGGTGTTATGTATGCTCTTTCTTGCATCTAATTTCAGATTTGTTATATTCCTCAGAGAACCACAGAACCTCACCTTAACTGTGTATAGGAACTTAAAATGATGGTAAATACACTTTGTTTAAGGGGGATTGTCTTGATGAGTTCCTCCTACAAATGTGTTTTGAGTCTCTGGAATTGTAAAATAAGAATTTTGTTGAATTTCTCTGAAGTTCTTTAGGAACTTCAGCTCATTTCCTGCAGAGAGAGTTCTCTCTGTAACTGTGTGTCTTCAAAGACTTCTTCCTCTAGCACTACCCTCAATGCCATCCCCACCTCACTCTTAGTGTAGCTTTGTCATGATCATACCTGTGTACACAGACTTACTTCCCTGCCTGCCTTGTCTGGCAGAGTCTGGATCTTTTTATTATTTATATTCTGAGCATTTAACCTGCTGGGCTCTGCTCATTATTAAGGTTCAGACTGTAAGATAAGCTTGGTCTTGGGGTCAGGCAGATAAGGTAGCTACAAGCAGCAGCTATGGTTGAGTCACCATGTGCTTTGTAGGTGAGCACCATGTGCACCTTTGTCTAAACTGCCTGCTGGCTGAAATGACTAATCATCCCCTTTGGCCAGAGGCCTATGAAGTAGCACATATGGAAATCATTGACTGAGGGGTGCTTTCTCTATTGCTTCTAATAAACTTCCATAGGAGTATGTCCTCCCAAGTAGCAAAGTGATTCCTTCCTTACCTGGAACCAGGTAATATATGCAAAGGGTTGCAGGATTTCTAAGTGAATTGATTAGGAGCTGGCTGGATGCAAGAGAAGTTCAAGTATTAGGTGTCTTTTTTTTTTTTTTTAAGTATTCCAATACTTAGAATGAAAATTCTAGACTGAGACCATTTTCTTTTTGATATAAGGAGCAGTATGATCAGGAGGTGAAAAGTGCACTATTGTTTTTCCTTAGTTTCATTTTTCTCATTGTTTTGCTTTGTCTTCATTAAATCTTTTGTAGCTTTAAAACTTTTTAATTCCTTAAACTAATAAATTTGGATTAAAGTATAATAATCCTACCAGTAATTGGTTGTGAATTTTTTTCAGCTCTTATAGAATTCAGTTTTACTTGTAAAACAACTCACCTTCCCATTTACAGGGACTGTCTCTGTTTTTGTCATAGAATTTGAATAGGTGCTGTATGTATTTCTGAGTATTATAGCTTTAAGTTTGTGTATATGTGTTTAAGTTGCTGTTTTCAGACTTTCTTTGCAGAAAGTGTGTGCTAAGACTTGTGGGGACCTTGTGAGTCAGGGCGACTGCTGGGTGGGTATACTGTGTTCAGGTTCTGGCCCATTGAGTCAGGAAAGTGTGTGCTCCCACTCGAGCTCACATTCCTGCTTGTCTCCCTGCCATGGCCCAAAGGTTCTGAAATGGACTGATAGTCATTTCTGTCTTCACAGAGCCCTTCTGCCTGGCAAACTACCCATCAGCCTTTCACAGTGTCATGTTTAACCCTGTGGAGCCCAGGTTATTGGCCACAGCCAATTCAAAAGAAGGAGTGGGACTCTGGGATATTCGAAAACCTCAGAGGTGAGCCCTTTTGTTTATAAGGTGTTAAAACTTTTCTGCACTTCAACTCTCAGGTAACGTTATCAACCAGCAAGGGTTGTGAGAACCTATTTGGCAGTCGATTTCAATTGGACATTTCCTAACATGCCCTGGTGTCTCTGAAGGCAGGGGAGCCCTATTCCCAAGAGACAAAGCAGTATGAGAAGTCCACAGTTTTGCTGAGGAGGAGTCATAAATTGTAATCTGGACTGCAGACAAAGTCAGTTTAGGCAAATAAATGAAGTAATGAAATCCTCTCTTTAATATTGTCCTCCATCTTTAGACCCAGGGTTCTCCAAGATGCCCAGGAGCTCTTGCGGTGGGATAGAGGTAGGGGATGATTTGTTAAACCCATGGCCACTGAACCAGGGATTCTTAACCCCAGGTTGGAGGGGTTCCCTAGTTGGACCTCAAGAGAACTGTGAACCCCCACAAATTGCATGGAAATAATATTGTGTGTCCATCTAAGTGCATTTTTCTGAGAAGGGAGTTTTCTTTTTTTAGTTTCTCAAAAGGACCAGTGACTGAATAAGGTTAAGAGCCCCTGCACTACAGTGTTAGAGACCAAGTGTGTTTGCTCTTCTCTTTTCATTATTAAAAGAGTATACTTAGGATAATCCTGAACTGATGGTAGATATCATTAATTGGTGAATTTCAGGCATCATTAAGGGAAGTGTGTGGATAGGGGCAAGTAGGAGGCTTTTTTATGTTCCTTAAATCCCCTGGGAAGGAATGACCTTTTATAGCACGTGTATATAAAGCCAGCCTTGGTTTATAAAAGACTCACGTGCATTGCAGTTCCTCTGGAAATTCTACATGGAGGTATCTTCCCACATTTTAAAGCAGTATTGCAGAAGACTATCATGGGAAGTAACTGAGTGTATGACTTATTTCATGGGCCTCAGATGGAAGGGGCAATTAAGTACAGAGGATTATCTTCCTTGGTGATCTTTAGTCTTAGCTAATTCTCTCCATGGGCCATCAGAGGAAGTTGGAAGTTTTGCAGCAGATCTGTGTAGCCCAGAGGGGTGTCTCTGGTGTTGGCGCTAGGGCTCCATAGGCAGCAGAGATTTCGCCTGCTCTCTCTGTTGCATATACACCTGGCCTTTGGCTTTTCCATGCTGCTGAAATGGGTGTAGTCACAGGACCCTTGTTGTGCCTTTGCTTAGGGAGGCTTGTTCTCTGTCCCTATTCTACTGTGTTCAGCTGTACCATTCTCTGCTGCTTCAGGCTATTTAGGAGCAACTGTTTTGCCTCATCCGTATTACAAAGGGCAGGATTTGGGCTAACTACGTCAGTCTTCTCCTAGCCTCCTATCTACCGTACTTATAACTGTAATGAACAGCTGGCAACTGGAATGGGGCCCTGAGTTATTCATCCTAGTGGAAAGCTTGAGTAGGCATGATGTCAGCGGTGTCTTGAGGAAAGAGGGGGTTAGTGTTTTCATGTTTCCCTGGCAGTTTCCTATTGTGAGTTGTATTTGGGCCCTCCTCCCCTTTCCCCTTGTCTCCACAACTAAACATCGTTTTATTTTTAAAAAATTTTAAATGAGATTATTGTTTTATTTTTAAAGTAACATTTATTAAATTTAGGATTTATATCCAGAGAAGTATAATGAAAACAAAAAAAGAAAAAGAAAAAGAAAAAAAATCCCATCTCCATATTATCTGTTACTTGTATATTTTTTAAATGTTTATACATCAATGTTTTCTTCTCCTTCCTGATCTCTAGTCATTCTCTCCAAAGATATATACAGTAAACAGTTGCTTATGTATCTTTCCAGAGCATCATTTAATGCATATACCAGCATGTATACATATCCTTTAAAAAAATTTATACTAAATGAACCATATAAGAATACTCATTGTTCTTAACTTCTTTCTTCAGTTAATATGTATTGGAGCTTTATTCATATCAGCATTTACAGATTTAGCATATTCTTTTAGTTCTATATCATTTCATCAATATGACGTACCCAACAACCAGGACTTCCTGTTTCCAGTTTGGGCCATTATTAACAGTGCTGCGGTGGACCTGCTTGCACATACGTCTTGGCCTACCTTTACAAAAATATAGGGTATTGCTGCATCAAAGGGTATATGTTATTACATTTTTTAATAAAAACTGTCCCACCAACACCAAAAGCTGCACTGATTTACGAACGTACCAGCTATTCAGGAGACCATATGTTTCTCCAGATCCTCACCAGCGCTTAAACTGTTGCGAGTCTTATGGGGGGAAAAGGTTATCTTCTTGTTTTGTTTACTTCTTCAATTATGGGTGAGGTTATGGTTTCTTTGGTAACCTATAGTTTTCAAAGCCTGTATGGAAGGAAGTCATCTAAAAAGACAAATTGGAAATCTTAACTGATTTCCTTTCTTGGAATAAAAGGAGGAACATAGTGCCATGAGGACTAGGATGTTTTTACCTGTTTCTTTCAATTCTTCAGAGGTCCCATGTGGTTTTATGGGTGTGAGACAGAAAAGGGGCACGAAATATTCTTACAGTCCTGTTCTTCACCATTGGTGTTTTGAGATTAAATTACAGATTTTTTCTCAGTACAAATTGGTATGGGAAAGGAAGAGAGGGCCTTTTGTTCTTTCCATGCAGGATTAATTATGCTGAGTTGCAATAGATGATTTGTTTCCTGAACACAGCTGCCTAGAAACCCAAGCCTAGATTTTGGGGCAGTCTGAATCCTCTGGGAGGACAAACCTGAAACAGGATAGGTCTATTTCAGGAATGCTTAAAGTCTAGGAAAAGATTTAGGGGATTTGTGAACATTTAATGGCAGGTAAAATTGTGTGTGCTTGTGTTTCTGAGTGAACACACATGACATTTTTTTCTAGGGATTGGGGAGAGCTTTTACTCGGTTCTCACAGAGACCTTTCACACTCTAAAGGATAAGAATCACTTGGTGTTCTAAAGATTCTAGCTTTAAAGCCTATTGTGGTTCCTTAGCAGGCATATATTTCTTCCACCTTATAATAGCTTGGACCTTGAATGAATTCGGGGACCTACCTGGGAGGCCTGCTGGCTTCCTAAAAACAAATCTGATCTCCATGGATCAATAAGGGAGCCTCACACTGAATAATTCTTCTTCCTTTATGGCTTAATCTGTGGTTTATTCCATACTGGAATGACTTCTCTGGCATACACCGAGCCTAAGCTGTATCTTGGTGCTTTAGCTTGGTAGGCTGTCTAGGGTGTAGGAGTGCGAGCAGAGTCAGGTTCATCCCGCTGCTGCCCTGCAATACGCTGATTAGAGGGTAGGCTGGTGAAATAAAAATGTCAGCTCTAGTTATCATCTGATCTGACTTGTTCATTGTACAGATTAAGAAATTAGTCTAGCAAGGTATGAGGAGTTAGACAAGCTTGATGGTTCAGAGTGTAGAATCTGAAGCCATATATCTTGGGTACAAATCCAAACAGTGCATCCTAATAACCGTATGCTCTTGAGCAAGTTACTTCACCTCTCAGTGCCTTAGAATAATAAATAATAGCTAACATTTATTAAGTATTAATTGTCAGGGATAATGACAATTACATGAATAATTCCTTATTTAATCCTTATGACAACCCCATGAAGTAGGTTCTATTCATATTTTAATGATAAAGAAATCAAGGCACAGAGAGGTGAAATAACTTGTGTGTGTATATCACATTCTCCCCTTCCATTTTTTTAATCAAATAGGATTCCTGTACATTCTGGTTTTATTTCATCTGTGCCTCCTTGCAATAGAATTTTTCAGAGTTCTTCTGAGACTTTTCCAATATGGGTATGTCCAACTCTGAAGTCTGAGTCCTTTAGACTTCTATCTCTAAAAGTCGCTCCCCTTTTCACTGTCTCTTGGTCCCATCCTGTCTGCATGCTGGCTTTCCAAGTTTCTTGCTCTTCTAACCCTGAAAATCTGCACATGCTGTTTGTTTTGCTGCAAAGCTTTAGAACAGGGCTTGTAAACTAGCTGCCCATAGGCCAGATTCAACCCACAGAGATATTTTGTTTGGCCTATGTGATATAATAGTGCTTGGAAATTACATAGAAAAATAAGTTTTTTACATCTCTTGAAAAATCAAACCATCTTTTTTTCTCTTTTATTCCCTTATGGCATCGGTCAGTAATGCTGAGTCATGGTTCCTTTTTAAGTCTTTGGGATGTGTTATAGGTCCCACCACTCCTTGATGTCTTAATCCAGGCATGCTTTTCTCATTTCATTACTTGCCTGGCCCTGTAGGTATTGGGGTTGGGAAGGTCTGCTTTAGGGATTTTAGAGGCAACGAGTGGGCCATCGGGTGGAGAACATGAGTATCAGTGGCTGGATAAGAAAGAAAACTTTATGTAAGTGTTCTTTGCATGTTTGGACAAGGTTCCACTTATTTCATTTAGGTTATTCCTGCTGAAACCTTTTTTCAACCATCCTCTCCTTTGTCACTGCCAACATCCTGTTATGTCTTGCTTGGATTGTTGCAGTGGCATCTGAACAGTTTTCAGAACTGAGATCCTCTAACATCTAGAGAGTTCAAGAAAAATGAACGTCTCCCTCCTGTTACTTTGCTTGTCTCCCCCTTACAATTGCCTGTTTCAGCTGTCTACTCACTCACCACCTCTCCTTTCTCTTATCTTTAGTTTCTGTCAGGAACTATTATTCGGTGACAGGTAACAGCATCTTACTTTGACAAGGATAATAAAGAGAGTGGTTCTTTCCCACTCAATAATAAAACTAGGGTAAGCCAGGAATTCCTGTAGCAACTTACCATATAAGATGGTGCTTTCATGTGTTGTGTAAATGATATCTGAAAATAAGCAAAGAAATTGCTTTTAGGACCTCACCTGGCTTTAGGGGGCTTCTAGGTTAAAAGTTTATTCTGTGGTGCCTGTGCCAGTCCTATTTCTGTAGAGACCAAATTATGTGTTGGCCTTCTGAACAAGCCAGACAATCTCTTTTGAGGGTTACTCATACTGTTATGGAAAAATAGAGACC